CACATGGTTAATGTTGTCTTCCTCACTAGATGGTACGTTCTATGAGGGCAAGGATGACATCTGCTTTGGTTCCCCGCTGTGGGCCAGAGCCCCAGCACAATGCCAGGCATGTGGTAGACCCCAATAAACACATGTTGAAGGGAGGAAGAAATGGCAGACAGCATAGCCATTATTCAACATTGTACCCCGAGGACTTGGTTGTGATCTCTGACACACACTAGGTGCTCACTCAATGTTCTGAATGAATGAATGCATGCATGGATGTTTTCAGATAGCACTCGGCCAGAAGCAAGCAGTAACATACAGGCTAATAAACAATTGCAGGATAAACTAAGCTGGGCTGGGTAATAAAGAAACCCCCAAGTCTCAAGGCTTGTTAACACATAAAAGTTTACTTCTGGATATTAGATTATATTAAGAAATTATTGGTAATGGTGTTGGGGTGATAATAGCATGATAATTATGCTGATCAACAGCTTGTTTGTTTTCAGATACTCTTCTCTGACCTATTTTTCAGGTGGCTCATCTCCCAGCCTCTCCCTTGCTGTACTAGCCCGCTCAGGGTGCCACAACAAAATACCACAGACTGGGTGGCTCAAACAGCAGAAATCTATTTTCTCACAGTTCCAGAGGCTGGGAGTTTGAGATCAGGGTGCCGGCATGGTCAGGTTCTGATGAGAATTTCTTCCTGGCTTGGAGATGGCCTCACCTTCTTGCTGCACTCTCACATGGCAGGTGTGTGTGTGTGTGAAGGGGATCTTCCTCCTCTTTTAAGGCCATCAGTCCTATAGGGCCCCACCCGTATGAACTCCCTTGACCTTAATTACCTCATAACAACCCCATCTCCAAATACAGTGACATTGGGAGTTAGAACTCCAACATATGAATTTAGGGGGACACAATTCAATCCACAGCACTTGCCTTCTAGCTTTTGGCCAATTCTGCAAATGGAGACAGGCTGCCAGGGCATCTGTCCCCGTCTCTTCAGCTTCATGGGGACTGCATCTCCACGGATATTTCAGCCTCCCCTGGACAACCAGCACCTACCACAGAGCTCCTGTATTACTTTTCTGTGATTGCTGTAATGAAGTACCACAAACTGGGTAGCCTAAAACAACAGAAATTTATCCTCTCACAGTTCAGGGGATCAGAAGTCCAAAATCAAGGGGTCGTGAGGGTCAGTTCCTTCTGAAGGTTCTGAGGCGGAGCCTGCTCCATGACAGTGCCTTCTCTCTGCATCTCCTCTGTGTCTGTGTCCAAATCTCTCAGCACTTTTTCTCATAAATATGCCAGTCATTGGATTTAGGACCCACCCTAATCTAGTAATTCCTCATCCTAATTTGATTATATCTCAAAGTCCCTATGTCCAAATAAGTCAAATTCATAGGTACTGGGTTTAGGAGTTGAACATATCATTCAACCCACTCCAGCCCCATCATGTTTCTACGGGTCACTGTTCGGTACCCCGTGGCCCTGGTGACACACTCCTCCCTCTGTGCTGGAGGCCGGTGGGGTGGAAGCAGCTTTCTGCTAATCTCTCAGAATTAGTCTCTGAGCTGCTTCACTGGTACCTGTTTGTCTATATTATTTAAGATATAAATATATATTACATATGTGGGTATGTATTATATATATTTATTTACAGATGTAATGACGGGATTTTCTTTAAAACACTCTAGCAAAAAAAAAAGTAGGGGGGCCCTACTCTGAGCTGTTGACTTTGGGTGGTTATGATGTGCCAGCGTAGATTAATCAACTGTAACAAATGTACCACTTGGTGGGGGTGGGGAGATGCTGGTAATGGGGGAAGGTATGCATGTGTGGGGGCAGCGAGTATGTGGGAAATATCTGTGCCTTCCTCTCAACTTCTCTGCGAATCTAAAACTGCTCTAAAACATCAAATCTTAAAAAAACAGAACAAGCAAGATAGGGGGATGTCTGATGAAAGTGAGAGAAAATTGGTAGAATGCTAATGATGCTGATAATAAAATTAGGTGATAAGTGTATGGAGTTCGCTCTACTATTCTCTTTATTTTTATATGAGATTTCCTGTAACAAAAAGATGTCTAAAAATGGTGAGATAAAATGGTGATTTTTATCCTCTGTGTGATTTTTATACTTTGGTCTCTGAAAATACCTTGTATAACTTCTTTCTAATCTCACTAAAACCTCAGTTGTCTTTAGAATATTTGAAGAAAATCCAGCAGGACCACTGATTTGTCTAACTTTCAGCATTTCAACAGAAAAGACAGGTAATTAAAAACTAATTTTTTGTGAGAAAATTCTGTGATCACATTGAATTAATAGGCTAAAATTTATCTAGTTTCATCTCTTCTCTGTTTAGTATTCAGCAAATCTTAGCCAACGAAATGTCGTTGATGTCTTCAAATTATTAAAATATACAGTGTCGTCAGCTGTTGTTGGAAGGATAAAGACCCTTTTGCTTTTCCTTCCAGTAGAGGGCTTCTACTGAAAAAAATAAGGCAAAATCTTTGGTATGGAAGGATTTTAATCAGAGGCTGAAAAATAATTTAGCTATTGCAGATATCCTAATGCTAGCATATTAATCTCTTTCAGAATTTACACTGAATTTACAAAACGTCTTCTGTTTTCGAGATGATATAATATCAACTCAGGTTATTCCGTAATTCTTGATCCTCAAATAGATATGCTATTGAGCCATGCAGAGAATTGTGCATTTTAAAGAAAGGTTACATTCTTACTAGGAACCTTGCTTTACTGCTTTCCTTTTTCTAGAACCTACTTTCAATACTAAAAATCCTTACAAAGAGAAGCAAACCAAGCAAAGCCATTACTAATTTAACCTGAACTTTAAAAATGTTCTTTTTGTTTCCAGTATTGTATGACATTCAAAGCATTTTAAAATTTAAGAACATATACATCATAAGTAGTGCTTTAAACCACATCATGCAAATGTAATGGAAGACCTGGGTAGAGATTTTTTTTGTCTTTTCTCTAGGTTACAAAATTAGTCATAAAAGATACTAAAATTTTCATTGTTTTCCCCTATCATCAAAGTTTATTTTTCTTTCAAGATGAAATATCTCCTCTGTTCACATGACAGAGTTGTCTTCTTTTATGGCAAAATATAAATAATTTAGTTGCAATAGCTTGTTGTTGGAAGTCTTGCACGCCTCTTAATAAATCTGATCTCCCTGTCTTCTGGGTCCACCACACCCCACAGCTTTCCAAGGTCACATGAAATGCTCAGTTGACTGCAGTATGCTGGGTGGGCATTGGACACTGGAACCCACCTTCTTCCACGTTGCTTATGTTTCTCCTGCCTCCAATACACATAACAGAAAAGCATAATTTTGAATCAGTTTTGATGATTGATAGTCATCATTTAAAACCTCGTGCTTTTTGATCACTTCATTGTGCCAGGTGCTATTTGACATTTAATTATTTTAAGAAATCAACCTTAATTATCTCTGTTTTCAGATGAGACGGAAGCTCAGAGAATTTAAGTAACTTGCTGAAAGTCACAGAGCCAGACTTCATAGAGCTGGAAGTCAGCTCTCCCAAAAAGTGCCCAAATTATTGTTCATAACCAATTGGCTACCACATCTCCAATCCAAGGTTGCTGGCATTTCCCCCCATTGTTTCAAGGTATCCTGAATGTGCTAAGCACCTGGCTCTGCCTCTAAGCTAAGAATTCAGTGCTATTCTTTAATTGGATCTACAGTTACCATTTCATCCAGTTGGGAAAAGCCTTAAGCCCTAATTGTTAGCAATCATATAAAGTGTTTCATTTTAAATAGGGTCTTTTTTTTTTCAGGTAGATGAAAGTTTAAAAGTAATGATACTCTGTTGAAAATTGCCAGTAGGCAATACATAGTTATTTTGTAACTTCTAAACTTTGTTTTCAAACAGATGAATTCTGTTCTCATCAGTCAGCTAATTTCTAATTAATGAGTGAGTTTTTTTCCCAGATGGTGTGTCGTATTACTGATTAGAAAACAAACACAAGACAAGCGTCCTCTTACTTATGAATGGCAAAGCTGAGTAAAGAAGGGTTAAGTCTGTGCTGTCCAATAAAGTGACCACTGGCCACATGTGGCCACTGAGCTTTTGAAATGTAACCATTTTGAACTGAGAATTGTGGTGTCAAAAACAAACCATATCCTGAAAAATCAGGACACAAAAAAGGATGTAAACTATCCCATTAGCAACTTTTATATTATTACATGTTGAAATGATAATTTTTGGCATATTTAAGTGAAATAAAATGTTGTTAATTTCACTTGTTTCTTTTTACCTTTTTAATGTGGCTACTAGAAAATCTTAAATTTAATTTGTGGCTTTGAATATTTCTATTGGACAATGCTGGGTGAAGGGATTACTGGTGAGAAAGGAAAGGGTTACTGCAAGCAGAATCAAGCAGTTCATAACATATACTCATTTATCAGTGAAAAGGCATTCAGTGATAAGGTTAAATATCTGTGTGACGACAATTCTACCATGTTCTCAAAGTTTTGCACTTTGAGGGCGTTTGTCAGATGGCCACTGTATTCGTAAGAAACATGGGAAAAGGCGTTTCCTCCTCTGTAGAGGGTCTTTGGCTGATTTTTCACTGCTCAGAAATGTGGACCCAGGATGACATATCAAGAACAAAAAAATGTACCAGCATTTCTTGTGTGAGATTCAGAGCAGATGGTGTGGCTCTGAGCAGTGGCCACTGGAGTAGCTCATCCACGTCTGCCACGAGGGTGGAGGTTTCTAGTGCAGCGGTGCGAGGCCAAACGGCACCCACGAGTTCATTACATAATTCCTAGTAGCGCGAGGCCAAGTGTGTATCGACCCTGGGGAACAGTGGGCAGGCTCCGACAGGCAGACCAAGGTGGTTGTGGCAATGTTTGGACAGTGTGTGCTAGGTGTTGTTTGTTTGGAAAAAGACTGACCAGCTTTTTTGCCCCTCCTCCTTCCTCTTTCTTTTTCCCCCTTTGAAACACTCTGACATAATACTGAATGACTTTGTTTTTAAGCTGTCTAAGCCTTACTCTGTGGAGAAAAAGCCTGCATATTCTTTCCCTGTAGGACACCAGTGTTATTTTTGGAGCAGAGGTTCTTAGGCTGATCTCTGTCTAAACCGATTTCTGTTCTTTGTGAAGTCACGGTCTGGGGCAGCTCTGAGAGATCTCCATGGGCGTAAGCTTCCTGGCTTTGCAGGGATGTCAAGGGGACATGCTTGAAGCCTCACTGGTCTGGGGCTCAACGCAGGGACCTTCGTATTCAGATCCCGCTCCGCGGACTGTGTCCTGGGAGCTGCGTCACACTGGTGCACTTTTACTGCTCCTGTCACTTCATGGGACGACCCACTTCGCGTGGGTCCAGGTGACCCCTCCTTCCTTTCTAACCCTTGTACTGCAGGTCTCAGGCTCCTCGAAAGACCAGAGCTGGGCAGTCCCTGCGGACTTCTCAGGATGCATCCGGCTGCGGGAGAGCCACTCAGGGCGCAACTCGAGTCCCTGAGGACCTCTGGGAACACGTCTCATGATTCGAAGTTAAGGGCATCCCCTTCTGCGACCTGCTCTGCGTCTGACTGCTAGACACAAGGAAGGAAACCTCCCCTGCTTCTCTCAGTTCCTCTTCCTGATCTATCATTACAGTAAGTTCACATAGTCCGAGCCAGGTAGGAAACATGTAAGATTAGACACAGTCTCAAATACTGCTGTCCACAACAAGTAATATACCACCTTGTTGTGACTCCCTTCCTCTGGAAGTTGGTAGCTGTGTTTCCAGGGAGCAGGAGCGTACGGAGAAAGGCTCCTGAACAGCGAGAAGCCCCTGCAGGTGTCTGGCTGCTTCCCCTGGGGGGTGGCGCCGTGACCTGTGATGTGCCCTTCCCTGGCCGTTTATACATAGCCAGCAAAGCTTCTTACAAGAGAACCCTCTTTCAGCACCTGCAGACTGGGAGACTTGCTGTAAATCTCTGTGACTCCCGGAACGGAAGCCAGCCGGCTGTTCCCCAAACCTGGCCAAGTCCCACCACAGCCCTCCATCCTTCCTTTCTTTTCCTGGGGGCACGGCCTGTGCTCAGCAATGGTCGACCTGGGGGGCCTGGACAACCTGATCGCCAACACGGCCTACCTGCAGGCCCGGAAGACCCTGGATGGCGACAGCAGGGAGCTGCAGCGGCGGCGCCGGACCCTGGTGCTGCCCGGGCCGCAGAGTTGCGCCGAGCTCCGCCAGGCCCTGCCCCTCAACTTCAGCAGCCTGTGCCAGCAGCAGCCCATCGGCCGCCGCCTCTTCCGGGACTTCCTGGGCACGGTGCCCCCGTACCAAGAGGCAGCGGCCTTCCTTGAGGAGCTGCAGAGCTGGGAGCTGGCTGAGGAGGGGCCTGCCAAGGGCAGCACGCTGCAGGGGCTTGTGGCCACTTGCACGGCTGCCTCCGCCCCAGGGCACCCGCACCCCTTCCTCAGCCCAGCTCTGGCCACCAAGAGCCAAGCGGCCACCACCAAGGAGGAGCAAGTGGCCCTGGTGGCACTGGCCAAGGATGAGGCCATGGCTTTCCTGCAGGACCAGCCCTTCCAGGAGTTCCTGGCCAGCCCCTTCTACCACAGGTTTCTGCAGTGGAAAGCTTTCGAGATGCAGCCCGTGTCCGACAAGTACTTCACTGAGTTCCGAGTGCTGGGCAAAGGGGGTTTTGGAGAGGTAAGTGTCTCAGAACAGCCAGGCTGAAAGGTGACGCGCAATGTAAAAGGGGTTTTGTTTACCTCTGCCTATTTTTTTTTTTTTTAAGTCTCAAGGGAACTTACTTAGAGCTACCTACATGTGAAGAATTCCTAGCTCGCTCTCACATCTTCTTTCTGGTCACCACGTGAAATAAAAGGAGAATGGCATAAGAAAGGCAAGCAGCATATGGAATTGGCAACGACTCTGTACCCTGGGGTCTGCCCCAGGGACGCACTGTGTGCCTGGACACCTAGGAGAATGATAGTAACAAATGAGGGGTATCTTCCCCTCACTTGTGGTAATGGAGGTAACCAGGGAAAACTTCAGATATCTAAGAAAAACACTCAATTGAAGTAAAGCTGAGAGTCCATTTTGTACCACCGCTGTGCTCCACTTTCTTTTCTTAAGTAGAAAACAGTTTTTTGAGGTAGAAGTCACATAACATAAAATTAGCCATTAACCATATTTATGTGTACAATTCAGTAGCATTTAATATGTTTGTAAAGCTGTGTGACCGTCACCTCTCGCTCCACGACATCTTCACCCCAGCCCCTAAGAGCCTCTGGTCCGCTTTCTGTCTCTATGGATTTGCTTATACTATTGTTTCATATAAATGTAATCAGTATATGACCTTTTGTGTCTGGCTTCTTTCATTGAGCATAATGTTTTGGAGACCCGTGTATCAGAACTTCATTCCTTTTTATGGCTGAATAATATCGTATTGCATAGCTGTACTACAGTTCATTGATCCATCCACCTCGATGGACCCTGGGTTGTTTCCATCTTCTGGTTATTGTGAAGAGTGCTGCTGTGAACATTCACGTGCAAGTATTTGTTTGAACACCTGTTTTTGTTTCTCTCGTGTATGCTTAGGAGTGGAATTGCTGGGTCAGAGGGCAATACTGTGTTTACCTTTCTGAGAACCACCGAAACTGTCCACATTTTACATTCCCACCAGCAATGCCTGAGCGTTCCAACTTCTCCACGTCCTCACCAACATTTGTTATTTCCCTTTTTTAAAAAATATATGGTTCGCCCAGTGGAGGTGACGTAGTACCTCACTGCAGACCCAGCTCTTCCTTGAAGAACCCCTCGTCCTTCCAGCTTTGCTGTCTCAGAAGCCTGCTGTCTTCTCACCTTGGCTGGTTTCTGCCCCTCCAGCCCCGTATCATCATCTTCTCCTCTTTCATGCTTTCTACTTCTACCTCTGCCTCTCCCTTTTCTTCTTTCCTTAAGGTATGTGCTGTCCAGGTGAAAAACACTGGTAAGATGTATGCCTGTAAGAAACTGGACAAGAAGCGGCTGAAGAAAAGAAATGGTGAGAAAATGGCTCTCTTGGAAAAGGAGATTTTGCAGAGGGTCAGCAGCCCTTTCATCGTGTCTCTGGCCTATGCCTTTGAGAGCAAGTCCCATCTCTGCCTGGTCATGAGCCTGATGAATGGGGGAGACCTAAAGTTCCACATCTACAACGTGGGCACGCGGGGCTTGGCCATGAGCAGGGTGGTCTTCTACTCAGCCCAGATGGCCTGTGCTGTGCTGCACCTCCACTCCCTCGGCATCGTCTACCGGGACATGAAGCCTGAGAACGTGCTGCTGGATGACCTTGGCAACTGCAGGCTGTCTGATCTGGGGCTCGCGGTGCACATCCAGGATGGCATGCCCATCACCCAGAGGGTGAGTGGCTCTCCAGCTGCCCCAAGGGTGGGGCACAGGGTCGGAGAGAAAGGCAGAGGGCTGTTCTACTCCCAGGGCAAACAGTCTTGGATATGATCCTTCTCATTTCCTTTCTCCTAAAGCCCTTATGTTGTCACCTTGCCTTAGTGGAGTGGGGAGAAAGGATTAGCTCCACTGGCTGTTTTGCGAGTGCTCTGCTGTCCTCTCAGGGGCAGAGGGGAGCCTCCTCCGTGCGTTAGAGATGGTTGGGCGCCTTCATGGTGAGATGGAAAGAGCCGAATCCACAGTCAGGGTCTAGGTATGTTCCACTAATAACTACCTCCCTGGTGTCATGTTCCAGAGACAATAGAGCCTTCATTTCCTCTTCTGAAAAACTTTAGGGTCTGGACCCTAAAATTCCAGGATCCTAAGAGGTAAACTCTTAAAAAAAAGAACAACCCCCTAACACTTAGCACATTAAAGTCAATGTTCTCTGCTGAGTGCAGAATAGGGGACTGTTTTATATTGGATAAAGGTGAATTTTAAATGAAAAATATATGGAGGTTTATTTTGATCAATTTGGTTCAAAGAGTCTTGCATAAAATTGTTTGATAAAAAAGGAAATATAATTAAGCAGTTATGCTAAATGAACAATACAACATCTCTGGGATTCTGACAGATCTTTACAGGTGAGTTTCTGTGCACAAGAGTAGGAGAATCCCCAGGAAGACAAGGGCCCAAGTCAGGTTCTTAAATATTCACATAAAACTTTGTTTTTGCACAGTTTCCAACCTATAAAGTGGATAGAACAATCAGGCAAGGAAGTAAAAAAAAAATCATGGCAAGTCTGGGAAATAGCAGGTGATTTCATATGGCTGTCATGTCAGGGTGCTGACAAGATGTGTGGGGCTTAGATGATGTGAAGACATGGGAATGACATGAGTGGATCTACATTTTTAGAAGACCAGTTTGGATTGCAGATGGGAGGCAGAGGAGGCCAGGGCAGTGGATCAGGGAGACACGATGGGGGGACCTGCTTGTCTAAGACAGTAGGATTGAAGAAAAGGGAGGAAATTAGAGCTGTTGGAAAGAGACCTAATGGGACTTCAGGACCAGCTGGGTACGATGGTGAGGGATGGGGATGGTCTCTGTCTCCCATGACCAGAAGGACAGTAAAATGGTAGGAAAGCTGGCAAGTTCAATTGTTCAATTGTTGATTGTGTCATATATGCAACAAGTAGGTGGAGCTGGTCACTGGATATTTAGACCTATAGGTCTAGTGTTGTGGAGAAAGTTCTGGGCTGGACATCAGAATTTAGAGTCAGCATGGCTGGGGAAAAAATCAGGCACCCCTGAGTCATTTGGGACAGAAGCTGAGGAACACCACCATGCAGGGGGCACTGGGGAAGAGCCTTGAAGAGGTGAAAGAAGAGGACTAGAGGCAGGAGTGGCGTAGTCACGGAAGCTGGATCATTTATGGGTTAATTTCAGTAGCACATCAAAGAAAACACAAATAGTGGATTAAGCAAAGGGGTTTATTTTTCTTATGTAACAGTATGGTGGAGACAAGCAATGGGTGGCATTAGTTCAGCAGCTGCAGGATGACGGGTTCAATGCCTCGTGATCTTGGCCTTTTCCGTGTGTTGCAAGATGGCTGCTCTAGTCCCAACTACCAGGTCTATGTTCCAGGCAGGAGAAAGGAGGACGGGTCAGGAGTAACTGAGCATGTGCAGAGCAGCCAAGTGTGCCTCCCTTTAAAGAGCTTGCATGGACACCCGCCTCTGAACAGCTTCCATTAAAATCTCATTAACTAGAACTATTATCTGGCCGCACCAGTCTTCAGGGGAGCCTGATAAATAACATTTTTTTTTGGAGTAGGAGAGAGGAGTACTAGTTAATAAGGAAGAAGAAAGGCTGGATATAGAATGCATAACTAGCAGCTTCTGCCACAGAAGCCAGAGGAGAAGAGGATTTTAGGGAGGAGAGTGGTCAGCACGGCCAAATGCTACAAAGAGGTCACACAGTCTGGGATTTGGCAAGTAGGGAACCACAGTGTCCTGGGTGAGAGCAATTTTCAAGGTCTAAACTCAAATGGTGGAGGTTGGGCTGGCCTGGAAGTAGAGAGTAAGACTAAGGAGGAAGGCTGATCACTCTAGGGGGTCACGGGGAGGAGGATGGTGTTTTAAGGGGGTCAGATTTAGATGCTGAGATAAGTGCCAGGCAAGAAAGTGATGACGCTATAGGAAGGGAAGAGAGTGAATTATGGAGGAGAAGCCGAGGAAAAGGCCAATGAGGAAGGAGGGCCTCAATGACACTGTCCCCTAAGTGGGTGGGGAGGAGCAACAGGTTGATGGGGGGAGGCAGCATGTTTGCCTCCTTGGGTCCTTTCTGTGGAGACAGGATTTTGTGAATCCATGTCTGTCTATGCATGAAAAAAACAAAGTTCTTTACTTTGTGGTTTTAAATTCATGTTGTCAATTATGCAAAGTAGAAATGTTCCTTTGAAGTGTCCCATAAGCATGTGTCATGCTAATTGGTGATATAACTCCACCTTGATGGAGACTTAGGAGACACATAGCTTTGTCTCTGTCTTAAAAATCCTTCCTTCTCCAGCTCTGTTTATGGGCCAACAGAATTTTTAAGGACAGTTCCTTCAGTGGCCCCTGTGTTCAGCTCTCCAGCTCTATTGGGGCCTGCAGGAAATTACCTGTGCCTCCTTGATATTGTTCACCATAATGAATGCACTCGGTGAAAAAGTTACTGCCTAGAGACCTCGGCCCTTTTGCCTGTCCTGAGTACTCTCTGTCTCTGGAGACTAAACTTCAGGGTTTAGACCACTTGCTCTCTCTAAGAAGATTTATGCCTCAGTCCCCAGGCCTGCCACTGAAGCCCAGGGGACTGTCAGGATGGGTAGGGGAAGAGTCAGAGAGTAAGACTGGAAGCCATAAAAAGAAAAGAGAGAAGAAAGGAAAGCCTCCCTCCTTCACTGTTTACCCTCCTGCATAGCTAAGAAAAGCCCCTCAGAGTCCCCGTTACTGTAGCTCTCACATGTGTAACTGGCCCCCAACTGGGTTTTAAGGTCATTATATTCATAACATTTCACAGAATGTTACTGTAGCTCTCACATGTGTAACTGGCCCCCAACTGGGTTTTAAGGTCATTATATTCATAACATTTCACAGAAGAAATGAAAAAGGAAATATTTATAGGGCTTTAGTAATAACCATTAGCATTGTTTTGATGTCAAGATGCTATGTAAAGAATTCCTGTGAACATTATGAAGAAGGTAAGAAGGAACTATCACCCTGATTATAAAGGTTGATACCTGCATTGACTGTCCTGTCCTCCCAGAAGAGGTGAGGCTTCACGGCTATGGAGACTCGACTGGATTCTTCCCATTCAGCTACTCAGTAGTCTTGCATAAGTCAGGATTGCTTCCTGCTACAAATAACAGAATGCCAGACTCCCAACAATTCCAGAGCCAAGCGCTCTGGAAAAATCCCCTGGCCTTTCCCTTCTTGCCACAAGGTGACTTTTGCAACTCCAAATATCAAGTCCACATTCTAGGACAGAAGAAAGATGGAGAAAAGAGCAATATCAACAGACTTCTGTTTACATACCATTGGCTGGGAACATGCCACATGTTCACCTCTAGCTGCAAAGGAGCGTGACAAATAGACTTTTTCCTTTTCCACCCATTATAGGCGATGGTAAGAGAGAAGGGGAGTGAGATTAGGTGTTGGGTGAGTCGATGACATCGGTCACACCAGCCCCCAGAAAAAAACTTTTGATAAGGATTAGGAAATCTCATTCAGCTTCTTAACTCACATGGGCATTAAAGCTAGAGTATAATTCTTACAATGGTGTGATAGGCAGAATTCTAAGATGACCTCCAATGACTCTTGCCTTTCTATAATCTACCCCCTTGGGTGTGGGCAGGATTTGGGAATATAATGAGATGTCACTCCCATGATTTTACTACATTATAAGGCAAAATAGATTATGAAGATGTAATTGAGGTTACTAATCAGTTAACTTTGAACTAATCAGGAGAGAAATGATGCAGGTGGGCCTGATCTAATTATATGAGTTCTTTAAATATGGGTATGGAGGTCAGAGACAGCAGAAGTCAGAAATTTAAAACATGGGAAGCCCTCAATATACCATTGCTGGCTTTGAAGATGGAGAAACCATGTGGCAAAGTGTAGGTGACCTCTAGGATCTGAGAGCAGCTTCTGGCTGACAGCCAGCAGGGAAACAGAGACCTCAGTCCTACAACCATAACAAACTCAATGCTGCCATTGCCATGTGAATTGGGAAAGGATCCTGAGCCCCAGGTGAAAACGCAGTATGGCAGACACCTTAACTTTGACCTTCTGAGATTTTGACCAAAGAACCCTGCCATGCTATGCTTAAACTTCTACCTACAGAACTGTGAGTTAATAAATGGGTGTTGTTCTAAGCTACTAAGTCGTGGTAATTTGTCACACAGCATAAGAAAACTCATATAAATTATAAATAAAGGAAGGTAGCCAGTGGAAAGATTTTTTGTATGATAGCATCAAAATTAATTGAGAAGATAGGAGGGTGCTGGACATCGTTAGAGCAACAGAGCTTTTCTTCCCAACAGGGCTCGGAATGCCTACTGCATGTTATAGAACTTGAGGCTGTAATTGACTTTGAAACTCCGGGCTTGGTTCTTCCAAGTGTAACCCTTTCCTTGGCAGAAACTCAACCTCCCTAGAGAGGCTCTTATGGGCTATTGCAGGATGTGAGGTGAAATACTTTGGACATTGCTTTATAGGCAGTAGGAAGCCATTGAAAGTTTTTCAACAGGAGAGTGGCATGGACAGGGTGATTCTCTAGGAAGATGACTCTGACTTTATACAAGATGAAGGAGAAGGACATGGGGGTGGGGAACCTGCAGGGAGCTATGTAATGATCCACCCATGAGGTAATGAGGGTTTAGGTAGGGCCCTGGCCTCTGAACAGTCTCATGTCCAGAACTCAGCCCCCTGACC